TTTTCTTCTTCTCTCCTCCTCTCTCTCTCTCTCTCTCTCTCCTGTCGCTTTAGAATAATATACACGGCATTATGGATGGCATTATTTATGGGTTTTAGGGAAGCGAGCACACTGCTGCCCACTTCTTTTTCTCTTTCTCTCTGTTTTTCTTTTTTTTCTTTTATAGTTTCTTTTGGATATTGATTTCGGATGCTTCGTCACTTCCTCTATTAATTCGTCGCCTGTTTTTTCAGAATGTCCCGCTGGTCAATTACCATGTGACAACAAAGTGTGCATCAACAAAAACTTCTTCTGCGATCACAACATCGATTGTCACGATGGGAGCGACGAACGCGATTGCAGTAAGAGTTTTCAAACCGTTTCGAACCTGTTCGAGATGGTGCTTTTCCAATGTTCCGGATCTTTCTGGAACTCTTTATCTCTTTTTCTTTTTTCTTCGAAGCATTCTAAGACTCGTAGAAAAGTGTCGAATTGATAATCCATCTCTGAAAGTCTCTTTTACTTACATAGTGTTAAAAAAAAAAAAAGTGAAATCAAAGAAATTCAATTATATTGTCTTAGTCACATCCAACTTATCCTGAGTCGTCAATAATGATATGTTTTTGAGGAAAAAGTTACAAAAATATTAAAAATTGCAGATAATGGTGTGACTCAACCACCAAGATGTCGCGAGGACGAGTTTACTTGTCGCGATGGAACCTGCATTCCGCAATCAGCTTTCTGCGACGAACGACCCGACTGTCCTTACGCAGAAGACGAGGTCAACTGTCTTCAAGGTAGGTCAAGGGACATGTCACCAAGAGACAGCTTAGAATGGTGGGGAAGAGAAATTGAGCAGGAACACGTGTGCACCGGCAGGCAGAAACATATCCTAGATATCACATAGGGAAATATAGTTTGGCCAAAAATTGGTGGAAAAGGCTGCAGGAACCAGGAGCAAAGACTCGTTTGAACATTCTTAAAGCTTTATCTAATTCCATGAGAAATATATTGTCAAGTTTGCTAGCTATTTGTTTCTCTGATTTAGAAATTTATGTGTGTGTATAATATATGAAAAAGAAACAAAAACATTTAACGCTTTTTTACATGCACTTCTGATTTGTGTATTTTTCAAGTGAGAACCATTTGAGAATCACTGTTAATGGAGAATGAGGAATTAGATTATTCCAATACTTGAAAAATACTTGTGCAGGATGAACAAATGACTTACAGTGAAATAACTTACAGTGAAACACGTGTTTCTCAAGGTTCTAATAAGATTCATAAGGATTTTTGATGTCTGACCAGGTCGTGGCCGTTTCCACTTTCTGTACATAAGCTCTATTCGGTATTGCACACTTGATCCACAGTAGATCACGCAACGCACCAGGTGCACACGCAGTGTTTGGCCGTGACACCGTGTTCACCGCTTGCTAGAGGCAATCTAAATTGTGCCGCACCGAGTTTGTACGTGCACTGATTAAGTCACAAGTGCTTCAGATTGTACATCACACTGAGATATATAACGTCAGACATTCTAGACGAATCTAGATTCTAGAATCCAAATTCATTTGTACTAATCCAAACATCCTATACTATAATTATGATAGATACACTGTCAATCTGAGGTACATAAGATAAATCACGTATAAAATAGCCGAATTGATCAGATTACCTCTTCCTACAGAGGTAAGAGAGAAACAAAACTGGATTCGCAAGTAGTAAGTAGTCGTAGGATTAAATTTCAAATTGCAGAGATGGCAAAGATCGTTAAAAAAAAAAAAAAGAAAAAAAAAGACAAAATGAAAGAGAAACACCGTGTACAAGGTGTTTTGTTCAGTTTCGGTTACTTCTAGGTAAGAACACGTCGGATAGAACCAACCTGGTAGGGCTAATCCACGAGACTCAGGATAACAAGGATTACAATCCGGATTATCAAGCGCCTGCTAATCAGAGCACTCCAAGGAGTTGTGCTCCCGATGATTTTGTTTGTGCTGATGGCACTTGCATCCCTGAAACTCACCACTGCGACCATTTCTACGATTGCCGCGACTTTACCGACGAACAGTATTGCTTCGGTTAGATCACTGGGCAGACCTTGATGATCTGTCGGCGTCCATCTCTTCTTCGCTTCGTTTTATTTCTGAATATAGCTTACTAGTTCTACTCCAATTAAATAGTATACACATATCTTAGCATTTATCTAAGATTTTTTAATTTTAAAAGATAACTTTAAACAGTTATTGCAGTTCCTGGATAAATGACTATAAGCTTATACTTTAAGCACCTTGTGAATGCTTATTTAAAAAAAAAAAAAATAAGATCCAAGGAAAGGAAATGGAAGAAATGCTATCACTTTATACAGGAACTAATTATCTACAGTGTACTATTTATGTATTTGGAATTTCAATTCCAATATAATCTGATTGAATTGAAAATAATTTTTGATTTGAAGGATTATTTATGGCTTGATGAATGAAATTAGATATTCGTTGGAAACCCTGGACGCCACAGATTCTCTGGACTCTGTATTTTTTTTGAGTTTATGTTAACAACCAAATAGACGGTGTATATAGGTTGTTCGAGTAGATATGAATGAATTTTACTCAATCACGCGTTCAACGCATTCTTGTGTAATTTTTAATGCATCCATTGATAATGCCTGACGTGATGTATTGAATTCCAGTTAATACAAATTTAGTATAGATACTGTTGTTATGGCATGTGATATAATTAATCTTTAATCTAGTAGATTAAACATTAGAGAGAAAGGATATGTCTTAGTATCTTATAAATATTCTCCTTAGAAGCGATTGATGTTAATATTTTAAATGTTATATTTTTAATGTTAGAATAGTGAAGTTTCTGATTAGTATATATTAGTATATAATTCACGCATAGAAAAATATGTATGAGATATTGTTAAATTTTTTTATACGTGCAGGTTTTTGTACATATATTAATAATTTTATATCTGTTTTTAGCATTTTTAGGTACTGTGGTAATTTATGCTCTTTTTCATCTCTTAGAATATTATTAGAATATTTTCAGATTATTAGAGTCTCTTTGTGTCTTGTTTAAATTTTTTAACGAATATACATTTTTTCTTGATAAACAATCATTTGTTTAAAATAAAGATATAAATTTTATTGTTACAATTGTTCAATGTATTTGTAGGTTGTGGCAAAGACCAATTCCAATGCGCAGATGGAAATTGCATTAGGATTGAGGATCAATGTAATGATTATATTGATTGTGCTGATGGATCTGATGAAGATGATTGTGGTAAGTATAATATTTTAGTTATATACATTATATAATATATAGGCTATTATTATATTCGTGAAACATTTTTTGATTTTAAAAACTAAAATAAATACGGAAGTTATAGTGTGAAAAAAAATGTCTTGAGATTTATTTGAGAATGAGATGTTTCCATCTTTTGTCACATTACCATATCCCTCTATTTTTTGTATACTAACTTTTTAATTTATTTTGACTTCTAAAATTGATATTAATAATTCTCTAAGATTTCATTGATAATTTAATTATTGATTTAATTAGTAATTTTTTGCAAATTCCATCAGATCATGTTGGTTCCCATCCAATGCCTGGTCGTTGCCCAGCTGGTTTCATCATGTGCATCAGAGACAAAGATTGTGTACCTCAATCTTCTCTCTGCAATGGAATACCAGAATGTAGAGATAGATCTGATGAAGAATATTGTAGTACGTAATTAAGTTGATTAATTAAAATTTAATTGTATCATATAATGCACATTATTCGTTATTTTTTTTTTTTCTGTTTGTTTATAGCCACAGAACCGTCCAGTCTTAGCTTGAAGACTTATCCAAGTGAGCAAGTGATTAAAGAAAGTAAGTTAGATAAGCTTGCAATGATTATAATTATAGAACAATAATAATTCAATTACACAAAATATACATACAGTAATATATAATTTGTTAGAGATTGATTAATAATAAAGATTTTTAATTGATTTTAATTATTGTCTTGGCCAGATCCGGCGAAGCAAGGTAAGATTTTATGGAGAAAAAGTGCAAGTATTGCTATGTAATTTTTTGATTCATAAAATATGTGATTAATGATTCATCTTAATTATGGATATTCATCTAAGAAAACCATTTTGTTCATTAAGAATTATAATACCAGAATTGTTTACATATTTGAAAGCTTCGCATTAATTAATTTTTAATTGACATTAAATGCAATATGCATGTGAAAATGTTTATTCAATATATTTTTATACAACGATAAATATTTTACAGTTTAATAATTTTGTGAGATCGGTTTTAAAAAGCCTTCAAAACAACATCGTGTATCGTTACATGTACAAATTTTACTCACAAATAGTGAAAATTTCCTCATAACATACACTACTTACAAAAAATTTACATAAATAATTCCACACAAATAACACGTAATGACAAAAAGAAAGAAAGTTACTCTTATTTTAATAGAATACTATTATTTTAAAAATCAGGTCGCGAAGTTGTGTTTCAATGTCGCGACGAAGGTCCTCTTCGGGCTAAAGTACGCTGGCTACGAGGAAATAATCTTCCTCTGCCATCTGGAAGTCGAGATATCAATGGACGTCTGGAAATTCCAAATATCCAGTTGAATCATTCGGGATCATACATTTGCGAGGCTGTTGATTATCCTCCATCCACTCCTGGCCAACAAGTTAGCGTATATCTTACTGTAGAAAAATGTATGTATCTTTGAACTTGAAAAAATTTATAGTTTGATAAATTATATAAAAAAAAAAATCAATTTTCATCTTTTCATTCCTCACGTAGTCGACCCACCAGCGACAAGCAGACCTCATGTGTGTCAATATGACGAAGCTACTTGTAGCAACGGTGAATGTATTCCTAAGTCGTATGTATGCAACGATAGATTAGACTGTACTGATGGTTCTGACGAAATGCGTTGCAGTAAGTTTTCATAATTTATTTAACATTGATATTTTTCTGAAAACCTTCTTATTGGAGGGAAATTAATTGTATCGAACAGGCCCACACGGTTGCGAACCCAATCAATTCCGTTGCAACAACACTCAGTGTGTAAGTAAATTATGGCGTTGTGACGGTGATAAAGATTGTGCCGATGGCAGCGATGAAGAAAATTGTGCCCCGAACAAACCAGGCTCTCCCTGTCGCTTCACAGAATTTGCTTGTGCCAGTAATAACCAGTGTATACCTAAAAGTTACCATTGCGACATGGAAAAGGATTGTTTAGATGCTAGTGATGAAATAGGATGTTGTATGTATTTTTTCTAATATAATTTAAACATAAAGAAAAGTTCGATACAAACAATTTTTCTTTTTTTTTATTATAGCTCCAGTTTTTATAGTGAAGCCACCTGTCCCTATGATTACACTGAATGTAGGAGAAGTTTTAACAATCACTTGTACAGCAATTGGTGTGCCTACTCCTGAAATCAATTGGCGTCTTAATTGGGGCCATGTTCCTCCCAAATGTACTATGACATCTATAAATGGAACTGGAACACTTACATGTCCTAACATTCAACCAGAAGATCAAGGAGCTTATTCTTGTGAAGGATTGAACAATGCTGGTTTCGTATTCGCCATACCTGACGCTATCGTCATGGTAAATAAATCTATGAGAGACATTTGTCCCAAAGGAATGTTCAATTCTGAAGCCAGAAATCCAGACGAGTGCATCTCCTGTTTCTGTTTCGGTGTCGCTACTGAATGTCACAGTGCCAATCTCTTCACTTATCATATTCCTCCACCAATGGATCGCCACAATATCATAGAAGTCAAATTTCAACCAAACGTTCAAATTCTAAATGATATCACTGGACAGATCTCAATCCTGAGAAGTATAGATCGAAATGGTGTACAATTATACCAACCAGAGTTACTATCGAACATCGATACGGAACTTCCTTACTTTGCCCTACCTGAAACTTATTATGGGAATCAATTGAAATCCTATGGTGGTTACTTGAAATACAGAGTACGTTTTAACGGAACTGGTGTAGCAAACACTGCACCATCAGTTATTCTAAGTGGAAACAATTATCATCTAGTACATAGAGGAAAGCAGTTAATACCGAATTATGATAACGAGGAGATTGTCAGATTTTTTCAAGGCGAGTGGTATAAACAACAAGGATGGAATGAAGTTCTTGCTACAAGAGAGGATATCATGATGACGCTAGAGAATGTGGACAATATTCTGATTAAGTATGTATGCTAATTTAATATCATATAAAATTATTGAAACTGATAAAAAAAATTATTTATTAGAGCACAGTATGATAATTCTCCATACTTGGATATCCGAATTACTAATATAGTGATGGACACAGCTGATGTAAGAAATACTGGACTTGGATCAGCATCTTATGTCGAAGAATGTGAATGTCCTTCGGGTAAATGTTACGTCAATTTAATATATCTTCCAATTTCTATTTAAAATAATCATGGCATATAATAATTATTTAGGATATACTGGTTTGTCATGCGAGCAATGTGCGCCTGGATATTTAAGACGACAGTCTGGTCCTTGGCTTGGACAATGTTACAGAGATGAACCACCATGTTCTTCAGGATATTATGGAGATCCTTCGAGAAACATTCCTTGTCAAATGTGTCCTTGTCCACTCACCAATCCATCCAATCAGTAAGATAATATTATTACTTATAAAATATTTATTAAAAAGTATTATAAATTTGAAAATGAAAAAATTATACTACATATAAATTGTCTGAAATAGATTTGCACGTACTTGTCAGCTTGGCTCAGATGGTCAACCTACCTGCAATTGTCCACCAGGATACATAGGTCGTAGATGTGAACAATGTGATGTAGGATACCAAGGAAATCCCCTTATTCCAGGAGATATGTGTATTCCCGTATCTCGTTGCGATCCTGATGGTAGCCTAAGTTTAGTTGCAGATCCTATTACTGGAAGATGTCGGTGCAAGGTATTAAATTTTTAATTCTTATTATTATATATATATATATATTACCTATATAATTTATAAATCGAATAGCTATATAGAAATTTGCAAAAAAATAGAAATAAGAAAAAGAATAGAAATTATTTCTTCATATAAAATAAGTTTATATTCGATATTATTTATGCTGTCATTTAACTCGGAAATATTTCTACTCTTTTATAAAGTAAGTACAATTTGAAATAGATGAAAATGATTAGTATAACTATAGTATGATAAAAGATATTGGTGTATTGGATTTAAATAAAATGGTTTATAGTTATACGCCACGGGTCTTACTTGCAATCAATGCAAGGCAAACACATTCAATTTGGCAACGAAAAATCAGTTTGGTTGTATCAGCTGCTTTTGCATGGGCATTACTAATAAATGTGTTTCCTCCAATTGGTATAGAAACGACGTAAGTATTTTATATTGCAATTAATAAAAAACTTATCCTCTATAAAGTTAACATAATATCATAATACTTTTTCAGATTCGAGTTTCTTTTACTAATTCTATCAGAGATTTCTCTCTTATCGAATCTAAAAGTCCAGACACTTTACCAATTGTAAATGGTATTCGTCTAGATGCAGTTAATCGTGAAATTATCTATAGTGATTTCCCTAATCGCGGAAACAACGATGTTTATTATTGGCAGTTGCCAAGTATCTTTTTAGGCGATCAAATTACCTCGTACGGCGGAAACCTCAAATATACTGTTCGTTATGTACCATCACCAGGTGGTCAGAGCTCAAAGAATAATGCTGCTGACGTTGAATTAATTAGTGCGAATGATATCAATCTGTTATATTTTTCTCGAGAGTTTCCCGAGCCAAACACTCCACAAACATTTACCGTTCCTCTCTTAGAACAATATTGGCAACGCAATGATGGAACACAAGCTGACAGAGAGCATTTGCTAATGGCCCTCGCTGATGTTCGTGCAATTAAAATCAAGGCCACGTATACTACTCATACCGATGAGGCTGCCTTATCACTAGTATCCCTAGATACAGCTGAAAAATACAATACAGGAAAAGCTAGAGCGGTGGAAGTAGAAGAATGCACTTGTCCAGTCGGTTATAAAGGATTATCTTGCGAGGATTGCGATGTTGGCTACACTAGAGCAAGCGAAGGTCTCTATTTGGGTATTTGTGAACCTTGCAATTGCAACGGTCATTCCAACCAATGCAATCCTGATACTGGAGTATGCGAGAACTGTGCTCATCATACCACTGGTGATTTTTGTGACATTTGCGAGAGCGGATATGAGGGTGATGCAACTCGAGGAACTCCTTATGATTGTACCTATAGTACAGAACGACCTTGTATGTGTAATGAACTTGGTTCACGTAATAGTGTATGCATCGGAAATACGTGTGATTGTAAACGGAATGTTGAAGGATCTCAATGTAATAGATGTCGTTCAGGTACATTTGGACTATCCGCGGAAAATCCGAATGGGTGCAATGAATGTTATTGTAGTGGATTAACCGATCAATGTCACGAAAGTTCTCTGTATGTTCAGCAAATACCTATGTGGGTTTATGATAACCAACATGGTTTCACTTTAACAGATTCGTCGAGACAAGAAATCATAGATGATGGTTTCGAATTAAATTTTGCTACGAATGAAATAGGATATCGTTATCCAGATAGCAGAGGACGCAGATTATTCTGGTCCTTGCCAGCTATTTTCACTGGCAATAAAGTCAAAAGTTATGGTGGCAATCTAACATTGACTCAACACATTACTGCTTATTCTGGTGCTCAAAGTTACAAGGACCAAGATATTATATTAATTGGAAATGGGATCACTTTATTCTGGACAAATCCTACTGAAATTCAACCTGATATACCATTAACCTATTCGGTACCGTTTAGAGAATCGGAATGGAAACGTTTGACTACTGAAGGACCTCGTGTTACATCGAGAATCGATCTAATGACAGTGCTATCTAATTTGGAAGCAATTTTGGTTCGTGCAACACATAGTGAATGGATGACAGCTACTTATATCAGCGACATAAGTCTGGATACAGCTGTAGAGCATCAAACTGGTAATAAGAGAGCGATTCAAGTGGAAGTTTGTCGTTGTCCTACTGGTTATATAGGAACATCCTGTGAATCCTGTGCCAGAGGTTATTATAGAGATACTAATGATCGATCTATCAGCTACTTAGGTTCCTGCATTCCATGCCCTTGCAACAACAATGAAGAAAGCTGTGAGATGACACGAATAGGTCAAGTGAAATGTCATTGTCAACCAGGATATGTGGGCCAGTATTGTCAAGATAATGGTACGTATGAAATAAATAAATTAAAAAACTTTAAAGAAATTATGTCAGATTTAATTAGATATGAAATAATCAGGATTTAAAAAAATTCTGCAAAACAGTAAAGAATAAAAAATATTAAATAAATTTCAAACATTGGATCGGTTAGGTGAACTGATGGTAAGTCTAACGCCAATGACGGGTGAAGTAAAGGCAAACTCGTGGGTTCTGTTCACGTGCAGTTACAAGTTCTCAAACCCGTTGTATATCTCTTTTACAATGAGTTCATGTGATGGCTATCCCGTAACCGCGACTGCCTTCGAGCCGGGATCTTTCAAAACAACAAACGAATCGTTGAGGACCTGGTATGTTTACGTCCGACAACATCCTTTCAATGTGGAATGCTGCATCTCGGATCTGAACGGAAAAGAGTTAATCAAAGTTGTGTCGACAGTCTTACCAGGTTTGACGGATCAAATGAAAGGAATAATTCGTGTTTGTCCGTCCATGGAAGGCAGAAATATCATGATCTTCATTTTCATTGGTGTCTGATACAATTCATCAGATGATCATTTCTCATAGTAACGCCTATACAATGGAAAGATGTACATTATCGATTGCTTGCTAGCTCTCTTATTTTTCAATAATATTTTTGATTCAGGAGCTTCTAATTGTATTCATATTGATTGTAGAAAATTAGAAAGGATATGGGCAGTGGTGGAATCTTCATTTATATATATATGTTTCTATGTTATATGACTGTGAAGCATTTTGAAGGCTTGCATCTTTAATTAATTTTTTAATTTTTACTGTTTGTTACAGAAGGTACTACTACATCAACCACTACATTTCCTATTACTCCACCAAAAATTTTGATTTATATTAGAGGACCAGAATTCCAAATAATTGAAACAGGAAGCACTGTTAGATATCATTGCTCTGGAACGTCTGTAGATAATGTAAGTAAAAAAAATTGTGAAATATTTAAATATTTAAAAAATAATTAATATATTTTTTAATATGTAGGGATCTTTGTATATCAAATGGGAGAAAGAAGGCGGTCAACTACCACCAGGAAGAAGTGTAGATGATAATCATGGTTTATTAGTTATTCGAGACGTGAAAGTATCTGATAGCGGTATTTATGTTTGTCAAGTCAGTGATGGAGTACACATTGGTTACAAAAATGTTACTCTCACTGTTGGAGGTAAGAAAAAGAAAATTGAAATTTGTTAAAAATATTTATTTATCATATTTAAAATATCATATACCTTATGCAGCTTTTCCACAAAGTTTATTGGATATTCCAGGTATACAAGATTGAAATGCATAATAATTTAAATAATGATATTAATGAATTGTCAAATTACACTTAATAGATTTATTAATAAATAATTTTTCTTTTTTACAATTTTATACCATAAAGATTATTTTTAAAATAACATTTGTTATTTTTACAACAATATATAAGGATTGATAAGAATTATATAGAATTATATAGCATTTGATTTGTGAATTATAAAATTTAATTAATAATAATCTATATAATATTAATATTATATTATCTAATATTATCTATATGCGAAGAGATTCAGCATTTTATACATCTTAATTTTATTTCATGATTTATTATAAATTAGATGTTATTTGTTTAAATATTAAAATCAGCTGCACCAAGGACTATTGTCATACCGCCATCTCTACAAGTAGTAGAAGGACATTCTGCGGAATTCCGTTGCGAAGCCAGCGGAAATCCACCGCCACAAATTGAATGGATTCGTGTTCATGGTCCCATGAATCCGGAAGTTATAGTTTACAATGGAGCGTGGATTCTAAAAGCTGTCTCGAAAAGCGATGCTGCCGAATATAAATGCGTAGCAAGAAACAATGTTGGCATAGATGAAAGAACTGTTATTCTCTACGTTGAAGGTAGTTAATTCTGAATCAAAATTACTCTAATAATAATATAACAAGTAATAGCATATTAAAAATTATAGCATATAAAATTATATAATTATATAAAATTATATAATAACATATTAATCTTTATAATCATAACTTTATCTATAGATAATCTCGAAACTCCACCATCAGATTCAATACCACCTACCATAACTCCTCCACAATGGATTGGATCAGTTGGAGATACAATCGTGATAACTTGCATCCCATCTCTAGACGCCAATATTACTTGGACCCGAGAAAGAAATATTCCATTACCTCCTACAGCCAATCAACGCGATGGTATTTTAACAATTGTAAATCCAACCACGTACGATTCTGGTATCTACATATGCACTGCAATCAGCTATATAGGAACAGTAGCTCATAAAACCATCAACATAACAGTAACATCTAGAAGACCTTTGCCAACTGTTAAAGTAACACCTGAAAAACAAACTGTTCCTCAAGGTAGTATAGCTGAAATAAAGTGTTTTACAACTGGAGAACCTGGTATACAAGTAAAATGGAGTAAATATCTTGAACAAATGAGCCCTAATGTGCAACAAATTGGAGATACTTTGAGAATTGCTAATATCCAGATTGCTGACCGTGGTGTCTACGTCTGTCGCGTCACGGGATCAAGTGGAAGTCACGAAGCTAGCGCTATTATTGAAGTTGAACGTGAGTGATCATCAAACTTAATATCGTAAGAACTAAAGAAGACTATTAAAAGAATAAAAGGAATACAGAATTGATAGTTATCGATAAATTTGTAGTCTATATTTATAAAAATAAATATGCAAATTACCAAAAATCATTTATAAATAAGATCATATACTTGAACCAAAAAAGAAAATTGTTTCTTTGTTTCAATGTCATTCTGTTAGTCATCTTTTTAACATAATTAAATATATGTGCAATTATATTATGATTTATATTTATATTATATTCAAATAATTTTGAATTCATTTAAACAGCGAGAGAACCTCCATTGGTAGAGATTTATCCCAAAAACGTCCCTCCAGTTACTCTGGGTGGATCCACAGATCTTCAATGTCGAGCAATTGCTGGAATCCCTATACCAGTGCTACAATGGTCCCATGAAGATGGCCGACCGTTTGCTCCTAATATTAAACAACTTCCTGGAGGTGTTCTAAGGCTTTCCAATATCACAACTAATGATGGAGGTTCTTATGTTTGTTCTGCTGTCAATTCCGTTGGTTCAAATTCTGCAACTGTATATATAGAAGTTCAATCTGTGCCTGTTATTTTAATAACACCTAAATCTGGAATTTTAACTGTGAAACCTGGAGATAGGATACGGCTAGTTTGTAGTGCAACCGGATATCCGCAACCTACAGTTGCTTGGAGTAAACACATGAACGTAGTACCACTGTAAGTTATTTTTGAAAAGAAAAATGATGATTTTAAATGATTTTAAAAAATAAAATAGAAATAATGTTTGAATTTCTGTTTAGTACAACAAACGAAGTAATTGATACCCCTCAAAAAGCTGTTTACGAAATATATTCCGCATCTCCGAATGACGAAGGTTCATATACCTGCCACGCAAATAACGCAGCAGGAATTGTCGAAGAACGCGTCTATATCAGAGTAGAAGATTCAGAAGTTTATCCACCTTGCAGAGGCGATGTTCCTTGTCCTGTATGTTCTTTTCTTATTATTAGAGATTAAAGTTGCAAAAATACAATCGATATTATTATTACAATATTCATTATAGGATACTACAAGTGATGACTCCATACCAAAAGATTATCTTAGAATTCCCAATGGAGGCAAAGTAGAAATGCGTTGCCATGTGCATGATAATGATGGAAATCATATTTATCTAGATTGGAAGAGAACAGACCATAGAGCTTTGCCAAATGGTAGTTCTGTTCACAATGGTGTACTAATTATTCCAGCTGTAGATAAGAGTGCTGCAGGAGAATATGTTTGTTCTGGAATGGATCAAGCCGGCAATCTTCTCTTTAAAGCTAAATCTCATCTCGAAGTATTATGTAAGATTCTCGATTAATCCTCAATTTTGTTTATATAAATAAATAAATATAATTGAAAATCGTTTATATATCAATAATATTCTTCCAGCTCCACCCAGGATTGTATTAATTCCACCCAGACAAACTGTTCGTTCTGGAGAAAGTCCGTCAATCGAATGTCGTACAACTGGAGATGAACCCATGACTATAGAATGGAATGCTATCGGGCGTTCCTTACCTTATTCAGTGACCCACAATCGTGGACTCCTTCAATTTCATGGAATCACTTATTCTGATGCTGGAAAATATGTTTGTAAAGCTACTAACGATGCAGGAACTGCTGAAGCTGTCGCTGAAGTTCTGGTGAATGGTATGTAATACCGTAAATTCTAATTTCAAAAATTCTGTAATTATCAAATAAAATATATTATAATATTTTTTCAGAACATCCTTATGAAAATACAGAAGTCAAAGCTGCTCAAAGAGATATAGTCACATACGTAGGACAACCTGTGCGTTTACGATGTATGGTTAGAGAAAGAGCTACTATACACTGGGTCAGAGATGGACAATCATTGCCATCTAATGTCAGAATAGAAGAAGATTATTTAGAGCTACCTAGAGTAAGACCAGAAGACAGTGGAAGATACATTTGCCAAATACAAACCTCTCATGGAGTTTCCAGTGACTATATTAATTTAAACGTCTCGCGTAAGTTAGAATTTGTAATCTAATAATCATGCATGGTTTCTTTCTTCATTTCTAATTTAGGACTCTTTTAAAAATTGTTTTGCGTCTTTCATTTTTTTTTAATATAAATCAAACAATAGATTTATGATCAAAATATTTATTATAATTAAAAAAATATAATTAAAAAACTATAATTAAAAAATTGTATTAGATTGTTATAAATTACCTTAAATTATATACATTTGTATAATTTGAAATATACAGTTCGTATAATTCAAATTATACAAATAACATAATTCAATATAAAATCATCATCGATAAGTTATACAGGAATCTAAGAGAACAGAGGTTTATTCATAGTTGTCACGGTATTGTTTATTAGTAGCTAATTTGCGTACAGATTGCATGCGTGTGAACCAAACGCAGTACAGGCAAAACAATTGTATGTGCGGCATTCAAGGATGCTTTCTATTGGATTACTATTGCAACGTCAATCCTCTCTTCTCTGGTTATAACTGCTACTTCAACAGCAAACGGTGGATTCGCCACTATCTTCAAAATCGAGGCGGTTTGTTTTGAAAAAAATTATGTGTTCCCGATGTGTAACGTGAACAATTAACGCTTTTTTCTTTTTTTTTGTTGAATAAGTTAACATTTTTGTGGTCATTAATTTTTCTCGATAATACCGCGTTATATCTATTAAATTTTTAATAAAAATAAAACAACGATATAATATTATGTTAACGACTACAAAAGTGTTAATCACTGTGTATTAAAACATTTTAGACATTTTTAAAAAATTATCAAACATGAAGAAAATTAGAAAGTTTACATAATGTTTATAGAAAAAAAATTAATATTTTAGTGATAATTAGTATTATTAATATTTTAGATAATAGTTTTGAATATTTTTCATGTGTTTGTTATTCAGTAGAAGTAGTCTGCTCCTTATTTAAATGGTATGCAGTTGTCTATTGTCATCTATTGAAATTTATCCTAAAAATCAATAATATAAAAAATATTTAATATTGGAAAAGATTCATATTTATACATATTAAAAATATTATTTAATATATTTTGCTAATTTTATTATTTATATTTTAGCTACTCCGATACCTGCAGTCAGTGTAGAAGTCTCTCAAGATCCAGTGAATATCGGAGATACCATTGATATACGTTGTGCTTGTTCTGGAACTCATAATCCACGTTATCATTGGTCCAGACCTAACCATCTCAGCCTACCAGAAAATGCTCAAGAATATGGAAATATTCTGAGATTATCTAATGTGGCTGTTAGTGATAGTGGATTATATAGATGTACTGCTGATACTCCTGAAGGTGTTTTCAAACAGGACTTCAATCTTGTTGTACATGGTAAATTTTTATAATTAAGTTCTTTATCATAAAAATTAAGATTAATATAATTAATATAATTTTTATTTTACCTGCTAACAAAATAATATATCAATGTAAGTAATACATAATTGTAATGTTTTAAATATATAAATTTTTTTTAATTGAGAATATTTTTTAGGTGGAAATAATGATGCACCAGCAATTGAAACCAAATATGCTCCTTATGGATCTAGCTTAGAAATGGATTGCCGTCCTAATATTGATCCACCAATGAAATTTCATTGGAGTAAATTGGGAGGTTATCTGCCATCTGATGCTCAGATTTTCGAGGTACATTAATCATAATATGACATCATTGTGATTAATAAAAGATAATAGTTAAAAACTATAATTTCATTTATTATTTCTCTATTAGAGTAAATTGAAACTAATCAATGTCAAAACAGAGGATGCAGGAACTTATATCTGCAGTGTAAATAACAATCATGAAAATATAGAAATACCCACAGTGCTTGTGGTAACAGGAGTTGTCCCATATTTCAGTCAGGCTCCTCGAAGTTTTATTGCCTTATCTCCATTACGTGATTCCTATCTAAAATTTAATATCGAAATCTCTTTCAAACCTCAAAGTTATGATGGTATAATCTTGTATAATGATGAATCTAGTAGTGGAAATGGTGATTTTGTTTTATTATCACTTGTTAGAGGCTATCCACAATTCAGGTAATTATTAATTTAATTAAGATAATTAAATTAATATAAATCAGTTAAAATTTATATAAATTAAATTGTGTTTTTTAACTAATAATAATTTTTGTAATGTAAGCTTCAATCTCGGTTCTGGACCAGCTATCATTCGAGCAGATAAATCTGTAACACTTGGAGAATGGCATACCATAAAACTTCAACGCAATAGAAAAGAAGGAACTATGTTAGTTGATGGTGAAGGTCCTTATAAAGGTGTCGCAGTTGGCAAAAAACAAGGATTAGACTTGAAAGCGCTATTGTTTATCGGTGGAGTTCCCAGTGATAATATAATAACTCAATATGCAGAAATTAATAGTGGTTTTGTTGGCTGTATCAGCAGATTGATAATTGGAGAAAAAGAAATAGATTTGATTGGTGATCAAACTGATAGTGTTGGAATCACTAATTGTGAAACTTGTGCTGAAAATCCTTGCAACAATGGTGGTGTATGTCAAGAAGCTGCTACAAAAAATGGATATCTTTGTCTATGTCGTGCTGGTTATAGTGGAAAACATTGTGATTATATTGGCCAGTCCTGTTATCCAGGTGAAATTATTCTTTAATTTTTAGTTATCTTCTTTTTGATTTTTTTTCTTTTTTCTTTTTTTTTTTTTTTCTTAGAGTTACAGTAGAAAATTGTAATTATTTTTTTTATATTAGGTGCTTGTGGTGAAGGCAATTGCGTAAACAAGGAAACTGGCTTCGAATGTTATTGTCCTCCCGGAAGAACCGGCTCTCGTTGTGAGAACTCGATAAAAATCTACGAACCAGCCTTCCATGACGATAAATCCTTTATAGCACATGAAACACCAAAAGCTCTCAGACGGTAATTATCTATAATGCATGATGCATGATTAGAAAAGATAATTCAGATTTTCTGCATATATCTTGTTTTATAGCTCTTATATTATATTTGTCAGTAGAGAATTAGAAAGTTTTTTATCTTAGAATTTCATGTTCAATAATGAATTATATATGTTTAAATGTTAATCGATGGATGCAAAATCTTCCTGGAGGATCCTCAGGCGCACATTAACTTGTTCAATTGAAAAGGAATCTTGATCTTAATTAAAACAATGATTTTCAGGGCGAGAATGAACCCGATCAAAACATACGGTCGATTAAGAGCACGCAACGCACAAGTTAGAAAGCCACGATCAAGGCCACATCACCACAATAAGCTGCACCACACGAAACATTAGTCCTTTTTTCACAATCAAACTTTTTTGATGCACATAATGATAGAAAAAGAAAAAAGAAGGAAAAGTCATTTATTATTATTAAATGTTTATAGAAAACATTAACTGCTATTTATAGTTGTCAGTCAGCATATATGTATATTATATATATTTTTTTATAAGAATTTTATTTTTTTTTTTTCTTAGAGTTACAGTAGAAAATTGTAATTATTTTTTTTATATTAGGTGCTTGTGGTGAAGGCAATTGCGTAAACAAGGAAACTGGCTTCGAATGTTATTGTCCTCCCGGAAGAACCGGCTCTCGTTGTGAGAACTCGATAAAAATCTACGAACCAGCCTTCCATGACGATAAATCCTTTATAGCACATGAAACACCAAAAGCTCTCAGACGGTAATTATCTATAATGCATGATGCATGATTAGAAAAGATAATTCAGATTTTCTGCATATATCTTGTTTTATAGCTCTTATATTATATTTGTCAGTAGAGAATTAGAAAGTTTTTTATCTTAGAATTTCATGTTCAATAATGAATTATATATGTTTAAATGTTAATCGATGGATGCAAAATCTTCCTGGAGGATCCTCAGGCGCACATTAACTTGTTCAATTGAAAAGGAATCTTGATCTTAATTAAAACAATGATTTTCAGGGCGAGAATGAACCCGATCAAAACATACGGTCGATTAAGAGCACGCAACGCACAAGTTAGAAAGCCACGATCAAGGCCACATCACCACAATAAGCTGCACCACACGAAACATTAGTCCTTTTTTCACAATCAAACTTTTTTGATGCACATAATGATAGAAAAAGAAAAAAGAAGGAAAAGTCATTTATTATTATTAAATGTTTATAGAAAACATTAACTGCTATTTATAGTTGTCAGTCAGCATATATGTATATTATATATATTTTTTTTATAAGAATTTTATTTACAATTAGATTTTTTTCTTTATGTCTGCCTCATACGTATCATAGATAATTATGTTGAAGCCTGTATAGTGAGTAGTTCCTTGGAATGAACCTCATGGTGCTGTAATATTAGAATATCAGTCAATATATTTACGTTATTCTCATATATTGACTTTTTACGGATCCAATTAATCTTTTTTATAGTAACATTATTATAAAGACAATTTTTTGTTGTTAAAGAAAGCTCTCTTTTTATTAAGATAGCTTTTAGATCATTGCCTGATGGACCGTAAAGAGTTCTCTGTACAGCTTCTTAAATAGTACATTTTAACGCATTGTATTAGTTATTTTAATTATTGTTTAAAATAAACCATTAATAAGGTCACTGCCAAACAAGAATTGCATTTTACAGTAATATCAAGAGCTTATTAAAACAATTATTAGTGTTGTGGCATTGACTTGTGTATTAAGCACACATGCAACACACACACACCTCAAATCAGGCACATCTTAAAATGTTTGTACTTATTTTGTAAAAACCTATTTGGTATATGTGCCATAAGTGGTGTGTTTCTAGGGCCAGAATGACCGTTTATATGTATTCGACGGGCTTCGAACGATGCTATAAGTATAAATATATGTCTTGAGATGCAAATAAAATTGATTTAACAGGACTTTTACCGAATTATATATTCATTTTGCTGATTACCCATCTCCATAGTTTATGAACATCAAGGAGGTAAGTTACACAATACAAAAGAATTTGCCTTTTCATATTTTTTCATGGCTTTTCCATTAACTTTAATACTTTTCTCCCACTAACAGGAATTAATTTCTATGTAAATCTAATATCAAACTAAAACAATTATTTTAATAATTTCAATGTTATCGTAGGTTAAAAGTGGCTTTGAACTTTAATCCTCTGGATAACGAGGACGGCATCCTGATGTATTGTGCTCAAAGTGACGAAGGACTAGGAGACTTTGTGGCTCTAGTAATCAAGGAAAAACGCGTCGAGTTCCGGTACGACATTGGTTCTGGTCCTGCAATTATTACGTCAAATCATATCCTTCAGCCAGGTGTATGGACGCATGTATCCATAAATAGGGACTTCAAGGAAGGAAATTTGACTGTGAATGGAGAACCTACAATAATAGGCAAATCTCCAGGAAGTGATCGCATTATGACACTTAATACACCTCTCTACATTGGAGGTGTTGATCGCAGAAGAATCACAATAAATAAAAATGCTGGTGTGAATAAAACTTTTCGAGGTTGCATCAGTGATGTAAGTTCATTATAAAAATTTTTAAAAAATGAAGAAACTATTTAATTAAAATATATTCTATTATGTTCTCAGCTTGGAGTTTCTTCAGTAAATGTAGACATACTAAAATCAGCTATAGATTCAGCAAATATAGATGATTGTAACGTTTTGCATCCTAATCAAATCAAAATAACTACTGTAATCACTACAACATCATCTACTACGACTCCCTATAATCCGTGTGCCTCAAATCCTTGCATTCATGGAATATGTCAGAATACTGATTCTTATGACTATTCTTGCACTTGTGAATATGGCTATGTAGGCAGAAACTGTGAGAATATCCTAAAACAATGTGAACTACTTCTTCCCTGTAGAAATGGAGGCACGTGTACAGATCTCCATGGATCTTACAAATGCGATTGTCAACTGGGTTATAATGGACAAAATTGTGAAAAACGTAATTGTTTCAGGAAATTCAATATAAAATATATTTTATAATATGATCAATATTTTATATCTTATATTTCATTTCTAGTCGCAGAAATAACATATGACGTTGCATTCAGAGGGGATGGCTGGTTAGAGTTGGATAAGAATGTAATGATACATGAAGAAGAGCGCGAAGTATTAGGTTTTGAAATTTCGACGAATAAGACTAGAGGATTGATCATGTGGCATGGACAAATACCAAGTAATTTGAATCCCGATCACTATATGGCTCTTGCTGTGGTTGATGGGTAATCAATAATCATTTTTAAATAAATACTATAATCACTTAAGCAGAAATTATTACATTTCTAGTTTTAAAACTAATACTTAATTTGTTCTTATTTTTTCAGCTATGTAGAATATCAATATGATTTAGGAACAGGTCCAGTAGTGATTCGTGTCACTGCACAGAAAGTAGATGATGGAGAAAGACATAGAATAATTTTAAAACGTCAAGGAAGCGACGGTAGTATTGAATTAAATGGTGAACATATGGAAAGTAGTACCAGTTATGGAACACAACAAGATTTAAATACTAGAGGTAATGTGTACTTGGGAGGAGTGCCTGATTATGCTATGACTTACGGAAAATATCAAGAAGGATTTTCTGGTTGCATTTATACTATGGAAGTGCAAGATTCTGGAGCCATAGATATCGGAGACAAAGCTATAAGAGGGAAAAATGTTTCACCATGTACTAGGTAAATGATTGAATTATTTTTTGATTATTATTATGTTAAGAAGATCATAAAAATTATGTAAAATGAAATGTTAATTTTTCACACTGTTTAGAGCAAGATGGATTCCTTCTTCTTTGGTATTTACTAATGCAGACACTGATATGTTCGATGCATTCGTTCCTCCACCTCCTGTTAATATAATCCACCCAAAACCAGCGGCCAATTTAGCTGCTTTTAATATCAAACATTATTCGTTGTTAATTTTATTTCAAAATTTACTTGTTTTTATCATAGATGTAAGAGAACAAAGCGTATTTTTTACAATATTATGCATAGACATTTTAAAATGTATATTAAGTTAAATATTATTTTTCAAATGAATACGTATTTCTTCATTAATAGTGCATTTAATAACGAAGAAATTACGTATTCAATTATAATTCGTGGAAATTAATTAAAAGATTAAATTTGTAAATTATTTATTACTTCATTAAAGTTGAAGGCAAGATAAATTAATAATATTTTACAATAAAAATTATTGATTTTAAGTAATAATTTTCTTTTTTTGTTTTCTTTTTTTTTATTATTATAGTTATTTAAGCAATAGATTTCCAATAAGACTTAGATTTCATAAATATGAAAAAGTTTATTTACGAATAATAAAGGACAATTTAAATATTTTCATTGTGAATGTAAGCGCAATAAATGTTATATAAACAGATTTATATCTGTACATATATAAATTTCTGATAACAATTTATAATTATATTTTATACAAATCTTTGTTTTTATAAAAATAAGCTAGATTTCTTTTTCTCTTTTCTTGAATTATTTTTTACTTGACAATAATATTTTTTTAAATTAATTGACTTTCACATTGAAAAAAGGAATAAAATGAACATTAAGGCGACTGTGAATACAATAATATTATATTATATCTCATATAAGTTTTCACTGCCATTGTCTGATTCGTTTTTTATAGGCATTTTCCAATCTTTAATATATGTTAGCAAATTCTAATTATGATTCTAGTTGAATATTATCTTTGAATTGAAAATGGAAAGGGCTAGATATAATAATAAATCAATGCCTTCAATATACAAAAAATTGTAAAAAATAACTTATGTTTTAGAATGAAATTTTTGTCAATGTTTATCTGGACCAAATATAGGCCCTATTATTGATTGTTTAATAGTTATAAGAATTGTTTTTTTATCGAAAGAACATTTCGATCTCCATTTATGTGATATTAACAAAGAAAAATTACTTACAAATATTTGCATAGTTAATACGGTGCTAGTATGATATGTTGCTAGTTCTAAGAAAATTTGTATTTAACAAAATACGATGAACGTGTGTAAATAATTATAATTAGTCTCTCGAATCTTGGCATTTTCTTACATTCTATATAACCGTTATTTCTCAAAGAAAATATCGTATTGTCAATAATATTATTAAGAAAAAGAAATAGATATGGAATGAACAATATGATAAAGAATATATTTACAAATAGTTATTACTTATTTAATTATCAAATATTATAACAATATATTATCGTTTCGTTTTTTTATGATCGCTTAAATTATCAATTAACAAATTGTTTTACGTAAAAAAATATCAATTTTTAAAATGTTTTTTAAATTTGTATAACAAACAAAATGTGATAATATAATTCTAATGTTAATTAGAAACTTAAT